CATGCAAAGTTGAATCGTGAATGTCTAAAAATTCAACAAAACTCATTGAGTAAAGCCTGGTTTCTGCATTGATTCCTGAATATAAAAAACAGAAGACTTAAGCCTTGCATGTTCGAGTACATTCAGGATATAACTCTCCTGTTTAAATACACATTCATGTTCTTAAGCTCATATAAATATCACAAGTATAAGGAGACACTAAGACCATTTTGTACACACAACAAAAAACGACCATTACTTGGACGGAGCCATGCCTCCGTCCACTTGGACGGAGCCATGAGATGCTTCTGTCCACACTTGGATGGAGGCATGAGATGCCTCCATCCACTTGGACGGAGGCATGGTGCCTCCGTCCAAGTTAAGATATACGATATATATCGCCACCCAATTGAAAGTAGATTGATGTTGGAGTAAATTCTTTTCTTTAAGCAAGTTGTCGTGCAAGCTTAATATTGTTACACAAGAGACTGATCTTTCAGAAGGGCACAACCTTACACACTTCTAGAGTTGTAGTGGCCAGGTTTACATGATCAAAGAAGGAGCAACTCTTGCCTTCTGAATCGTGGTAGAATCTGCTGCTAACAAAAATGAAGAGGGTAAAACTTGTGGTATCCTTCTTTTAGTAGACGTTTGAAAAATAATAGGCTAGTGGTGAATGAATGTAGTTTGACACGATTGAATGAACAGCACCAGGCCTGATGATTTTGCTTTAACTTTTCTTCTTAACAAATGGTTGGTTCTTTCTGTAAGATGACTCCTATTTGAAGGAACGTCCTGGGAAAAGAATTCTATATTTTGTTCAACAGACATAAGATAATCTTTTAGCAGTTGCTTTGGTGGGAGCTCACTCTGACAAATGCATTTAGGTTTTGGAACAAGGTTACCCAAAATTTCTCTTCAGTACCTATAAAAAAATTGGAAAAAATTCACATTGCACTTCTATTAAGGACTGACCTCTAAGTAGTCTGCTGCCGAAGCTTAAAATGATGACAGGAATACTGCTCTGTCCCATAAACACTGAGATGTGAGAAAATGCTCCTAAAATATTCTTGCATTCATTTCTATCCAAATGAAACGAGTAAAGGCCAATGTCCTATAATATTTCACTTCTCTTACCATCGTCAATCTTATCTACAGCTCTCTAGCAAAAGTGCAGTACCGAAAAGGATGGACGCGTGTTCCATGAAATATCTGTTTGAGTGTTCTGCAGATTGAGGTTGCACTGGCATTTGGGCAGCATTTTTTTCTTTTTGCTTCCTTTTCTACATATTGTAGGTGATGGAAGCCTTAATTCGATGCTCCATAGGGAAGAGGCTGAGTAGATCCGCAAAGCATTTAATTCATTCTTATTATAATCTATTTGAAGATGAAGAAGAAGTGTTGTAAATCTGTTTCATATTAAGAAATGCAGAATCCCTGCAGGCTACAGAAGTGACCTAGGCATTCATGTGATTTCATGGCTTAAAGATTTAATGCTTGGGAGAGAGACGGTTTGAACTAAAATTATAAATCCCATATGCTGATTTTACTAGATAATCGAAGTTAAAAGAAGAACTAGCTATCTTCTTTATGTAGGTTTCCAGTTTTAAGTTTAACTACAAGATGATTGCAACGTCAGAATAACTTGAATGGGGTTTATGATTTTTTGGTTCATTAAATCTGGATTCTTCAACTTAAAAGTTTAGGCATACCACCCTGGAAAGGGAAACGAGGCACTGTGTTATGTAATTATGTTGATGGCATTATAAGGTTTTGTTCTATGATATGTTTCCCGAGTAGAATTCTGCTAATAGCTTTGTATTCTCCTATCTTTATGTTTTGTTTTTGGTATTTAAGATGAAGTTTCATTTATGAGATTTTAATCTGAAGCATCACTATTCTAATCCTGAAAACAAGGTTCAGTCCAGAAATATCTATTCCTATTTACCTGCCAACCTATTAATTTCCAGTTCCTCCAAGTATATGTGGCTGATGGACCTGAAAACAACACGTGGCCTCTAAGGTAGTTTCTTAGGATGGTTATTCTAGATTTTTTTTTCCTTTGATGCAATTTATGTTTCTGAATGCATTGTGGGATTATCAAGGCAAAATTCACTGTTTCATTGACGAGTAATGCTTTTTTAGTGTTTTTTCTATTTTACTTGGCTGGGTAAATATTTAGGAAGAGCAATCAGGACATTTTATTATATTTGGTTGTGCTTAAAATTAGCTTAAAAACTACTTTTTTGGAATTATATAGAGTTATCGTTCTTTAACTTCTATTATTAAACTTGGGCTACTTGAATCGTTTTAAGAAAGATTAATTTGGTGAGGTTTTTATTTCATATGCGTATGGATTAATTCTATTGTTGGGAATGTAGTTAAATTATATGTACTTATGAATTTGTACAGGAAAAATCAAGGAAAAGAGGAATTGACATGGAGGATTTTTTCTCTGAAGGAATTGCAATTGGCCACAAACAATTTTAATTATGACAAGCAGCTTGGAGAAGGTGGATTTGGCAGTGTTTATTGGGGTCAGCTTTGGGATGGGTCTCAAGTAATTTACAGTGATTTTCATTAGATTCATTTAAGCTTTAAAGCATATATTTTTGGTACATTGGATTGACTATTATGAAAAATACTAATGGAAAAGAAGCTAAATACTTGTCCTTGTCCCGTGCAATGCTATTCTGTGTTTAGTAGCTGTCATTGTATTTTTCGTTGAAATTTTCTCGTTGCTATGTCAGATTAGTTTTGCCTCTACATACTTAAGAATCAATCAATTAAAATATATAAGAAAATAATTGGTTAAATAGTTTGATAGTCATTTAGAAAAGGAAGACATATTATGCGAAAATATTATTCGGGATAAGTTGGTAAAGTTAATGCACCATTAGTTCTGATTGTTGTTATTTTGCTATATGTCGACTTTCATCGAGAAACTTTTACCATCGAAATCATGGTTATGTTTAAGTGGGTAACATATTTAAGCATGTTTCCTAAGCCTAAAAGTTACTTTTAGGTAACAATCTATCCACACTATTAAATAGCCAACTATATTCAAACACGTGCATTGTACGTGCACCACCTAGTCATTAATATACAAGACTGTAATGGAAATGATTATGTACAATAAATATTTTCCAACAATATATATATATCGTATTTTTTTATTATTCATATAGATATAGAAGTGACAAGGTTATTGGTTTTTTTTTTTTCTTGGAATCTTGAC